TACAAACTAAAAACTGCACAGTCACTCTCGTAGCCGAAAATATATTTTATCTATGTGATTTGCACATCTGATCCTGATGCAACAAACTCCAAACTTTTTTGCAGCAAAACTGTAAGTTTCGATTTTGACAGAACGGGTTATCTCAAGTTGTTATCTCAATCGTGTAGTGACACTATTCATTTCTCATTGCCTTAAAATAACAAGACAAATCAAAACTGAAATACCTAGTTTGTTTTTGACACTGATGATCTGTTATCTCAAAATCTTGAGAGAAATAAATATTAACTTTGTGTCAGCAATTTTTTCGTTTATTTCTTACCACAAGATTACAAGGGTGTTAGTTTTCTAATGTTATAAATGACATGACTGAGACGATCAGGTTTTGGTATTTTTGTTGGTTTTTCAAGATAACGTCTCCTCCAGTTCATTTTGTTTTGGTAATGGAAGCCGAATGACTTCTTGGGTTTTTCATTCTTAATTTATATTAATCATAACTAGACCTCGACCTAATTTTATTCCCACAATAGTGGTTGCATTATCCCAAAATATATATATTTTTTTTTTAGATTATCTCAAGATAAAACTTGATGTTCATTTTGTAACAATATACAGTTTCGTTATCTCTCTGTCTTAATGAACCTTTCATTCATCTCAAAATAATGAGATATTATTACTATATTGGAAAACACTAAGCCACCATGATACATTAAAAGTTGGATTTTCTGAAACAACAGATACATGTCAACTTAGAAATCAGAACAGTCACGTTAGCAGTTGGTTCTTATCGCAAGAAAATTATTTTTATCTAACAAAAATAGGAGATGGTCAGCTTGTAAACTCTAAAAATTAAAAATAAAATGAGTTGTGAGGACGTACGACTACTTTTTATACATCTCAAATTTACTCCGCTTTCTTTGAGCGAGTTATAAGGAATTCATATTCTTGTTGTCTGGCAAGTGGAACGTGGAGACAGCGGTTTTCCATACTGATTTGGCTCCACACTTTTTCACTTTAAAAGCTAATTCGACACTTTCACCGTCTTCGGGAGGGTGTAGGAACCCTGCGCTAAGGTACAGAACAGACTGTGCTCTAATCCCAACCTGTCAGTGGTCAGTCATTGCAGGAGTTTGGGTTCACAGGATCACTTTGGATCACTAAATCGGTGGCCGCTCCCGTCTTGCATTATAATCTCACGATGCCACTGAGAACGTGGCCAGGGTTTAACAGCCTTGGATCGGACCCAGTACAGGATAAAGCTAACAGCAGTGCAAAGCTGATCAGCAACGTGGGTGTCAGTTGTAAAGCCAAAATGTCACATTTGACTGTGAGCGGGCCTGACATTAACTGAGAAAGCAGGTCATATAATTAGAGCGCCAGCAGAAAGGAGTCGGTGGATTCCCACACCATCATTCTGAAACCCGGTGACCTTCTTTTAATTCCTGCGACATCTCTGCTGCTAGCAGTTCGGGTTGGCATGTGAGATCATAACAAGCGGTCGGGGTGAAATGATGCAGGGCCACACAGTCCGACCTACCCACACACACGCACACACCCACACCTAATTACACATGCATTCATTCTCACACACATTATATATGAAGGAGAAAAATATATTAACATTTGGGTTACAAAACATTCCAACAGCCTCAGTGTAGTAAAGCACACGTGGGTTGTCTCCTCTTCCTTTCCCTTCCACAAAATATATATATATATATATATATATATATATATATATATATATATATATATATATATATATATATATATATATATATATATTTTTTTTTTTTTTTTTTTCAATTTTTAATAAAAAAATTTCCAATTTGTTTTATCGGGGTTTCAGGCCATGGATTTTATTTTTTTT